GAGAGAGAGAGAGAGAGAGAGAGAGAGAGAGAGAGAGAGAGAGAGAGTTCTTCTTCTTCCTCTTCTAAGTCCACCATCTCTCCCTCACCCTCTCGCTACCTAACTTCTCAGTATCTGCAGACTACGAGAGAGAGAGAGAGATTGGTGACTTTGGGACTTGACGACATTTGGATTCAGACTCGACATTGGGATTGAGATGTTGGACGAGGGATTATTTGGGACCTGTACCGAAGACTTGGTGTTGACGACCTTCCCATCTTCCCCTCTTCTTCGTCTAACCCCCCTCCGCTTCGTCTGCGTATGTTTGGGACTGGGGCAGTCTTCCTTTGTGAGCGCCAGGTCCCTTCACACCATACGATGATGATGATGTATGTTTGGTCTGCATTGCGGCATTGATTGATTGGATCATTGGTATATTAGCCTTCCGCTGCGCTATCTTGTACTATGTGAGAGAGGTCGGTTCTCGTTCTGGTCTGTACCGTTACGGTATGCGACAAGCGCCAGCAGGAGCAGTGGGAGAGCTTGCGATGGCGGTGGGAGTGCTGTCGAAACTATCAAAGAGACAACGAGCCATAGTTTGTATTTAGCCCCACTGGAGTGCCACATCTATCACCTCTGCGCAACCCTCTCTCTGAGGCGGATTCATTGATAGATTGCACTGAAAATTCCGGATGGGCTTTGTTGGGATATCTGGTATTGTGCTCTATACCTGGATTACTGCCTTATATTAGATTCCTTGCTCTGTCATGGGTATAATGCCGTAAACGTTCATTTACACACATGTAGCCTGGCCCACTGTTCTGGGCTAGATTCCTAATATTAGCCTCGTAGCTTTAGTCGAGTCTGGGGATTGTGCACGGTCTTTTTACTAATGTCTTACATCATCGAGGATTGTTTCAGTTGGTTTCTCTCTGCTTCACGTCAACATGGAAGGCTTTATCGCATATTTTGTGTGGTATGGCAATATCTAATGGGTCTATGAGTGAGTATTTTAAATTCTTGTTACCTAGTCACATAGGCAGGCTAGATTATGTGCCTTTGAGGAAGCAATGGCATGAGGAGTCCGATCTTCCATGTCGAGCTATGATCACACACATGGTGCAGAGGGCACAACTTAGGGAATCTCTATCATGGTCCTGTATCTGGCTGTTTGAAAGGGTAGATTCATGTCCTTATTAGCATTGAGTTATGGCACCCGCCTATACTTGCGGATAATTATCCTTTGATGTGCAGTGCTTTCGAAGGCTTGCTTGTATTTGGAACAGATCTCGAAAATCCGTTTTGCCTGAATTTGGCAGGAAAGTGTGTAGAGTCTTCATAGTAAGGGTTTCAAGCTATCTCCAAAGCCTAAGGCAGGGTCCTCTGCCCATAGATTCCCTGATCATTTCCTCTACTTTTTTGGAAACGGGAAGAATATTGGACTCAGAGTCTGACTCGGTGTTGGCTATGTAGTTTAGGGTTAATCTGCTGATAGTAGAGTGATTTCATCACTCCTGTGATCTCTGCGAGCTGGAGTTAGGACTTCCTCTATACATATTGAACGTGGTCGTCTTTAGGCCAGATTAGTTCATGATGCTTAGACTCTGAATTTTTCCCAGATGCCTCTGTTGAGTTTAGTGTGCCTGCTAGCTCACGTATTTCTTGCTACGTTAGGAAGGGAGTGACAATTTGTTGAAATCCTTGCACTTGTACTGTGAATGTTGGTGCAGCGGCTTTTGGCTTGAATCAGGGGAAACTCACGGAACTAGAGGGAGTGGCGCCTCCTTGAGCAGTGTGAGTGTAACAAGGGGTGGTGGGAACACTACTGGTTGGGTGGTAAGAGACAGCCGATGAAGAGCAAACTTGAGTTGTACTCATTGTGATCGCCTCACAAAAATGATCCAAGGGTGCGAGGGCAGCCCGGATGGTGGTCAGGGGTTTATTCTTGGTAGGATTTGAGTAGTACTTTTTGCCATGGAATTTTTGTGAGTTGACAAATTCATTTTGGAAAACAAAGAGAGGAATGGGCTTGTCCTTCAATTAGTAGCTAAAATAACTGGGAGTAGAATAGCGGGGGGCGCTGTCTTTGGGTGCGATGATACATAGAATGAAAAATTTGAGTCTTCAGTTGATAAGCTAAACCGGCTGATGCTGCCGGGATAACTCCTGGTTGAATTGTGAGGATCCCCGGCCTCGTTCATTGATTTGATTTGGAATATAAGACATTTATTAAAACAAACAAACAAAAAAAACTTGTCGGAAACTGGCAAACGTACTAAAAGTGGGACGGGCCCTCACCCTTTGTTGGTCAGAGTAGATAGAGTGTTTTTTTCTTTTGCATTTGGTGCCTTTTTGCGTCCCGCATAGGTTTTTGCTGATGATGTTTCTTTTGCCGTGGGTGCCTTGCGGTTTTCCCCTCTTGTTAGGGCCGGTGCTGGTGTTGTCACTGTTGTGGGATGGGTGTAAAGACTGTGTACTTTCCGAGACCGCCGTGGGGCGAGACAACCCGGCTGTCCTTGTTATTGGCTACTGTGCTGATGTAACTTGCCTTGGGCATACATTAAAAGAAAGAAAAAAAAAAGAAAAAAAAGTTATACTCTTGAAAAAAAAAATAAAAAAAAATCCAGCGGCCTAGCTGAGTTGGTTAGGCATGCAAGTGGCATTTAGGAGGTTGTGGGTTCAAGCCCCATGGCCGCCTACAGCGCACTTAGTACCAACGGACTGTGATAGTCCTCTGGATACCCCTGATCGGTATTAGCGGGGTCTATGACCAACACGGGTGTGAGTGTGAGCGCATGTGGGTTGTGTGTGGTGTGTGGGAGAGTGTTGGCCATAGCCTCTGCTGCTACTCGATGAGGGGTGGGGGACGATGAGAAAGGGAGGCGCAGCTACTGGCAAAATGCTCTGTCTTTGCGTTAGCCGGACCCCCACCGGCGCCCCCACCCCATCTCTGACTACCGCTGTTGGGGCGGGGGGCAACATGAATTACCTCGTTTGCGAGGCCCTTTGCTTGCAGGGGTCCCCTCTATATAGTCTTTTTTTTTTTTTTTTTTTTTTTTTTTTTTTTTTTTTTGGAAGAAACATCCGGATTGGCGCTAGGGGTGCTGGTAAGAGCAGGCACCGCTAGGGCCGTCGGGAGGGCTCCATCTATTGGTGGGGAGCAGCACCTGCTGGAAAACGGGTACAGCGTCCCTGTACATGGTAATCATATGATTGAACAGTCCAAAATTTGTGAAGGGTTATAGTGTATGTGCTTAATCTGTTAGGGTCCCCTCTATATAGTCTTAGGAGTAGTGGTAGGAAGGTAGTGAAAGGCAAAAAAGCATTTGAGAGAAGAACATAGTGTATTAAAAAAAAAAAAAGAAAAAAAAAAAAGTGGGAGGGGCCGAACCAATTCAAATACCTGTCGAATCTGGAGAGGACGGCCTTTCAGGCCTTTTTTATTGTGATTATCTAGGCTACAAGCGGGGCCGCCCGGGTCCCGGGTGGCCTTTCAGGCCTTTCTTATTGTGATTATCTGGCCTACCAGCCAGGCCCCCCGGGTCCCGGGTGGCCAGCCCGTGCAAGGACCAGCGAAAGTAAACTATGTTATGCAGAAAAATAAATCGAACAACGTTTGGGCCACATCGAGAGAGAGAGAGAGAGAGAGAGAGAGAGAGAGAGAGAGAGAGAGCAGACAGGCAGACGGCCTATGCGAGGGCGGATCTGGGGTGCAGCAGTCCATGGTTATTGTCAGTCAGGTTGATCCTGAGTGCCTCCAACGGCGACAGAGGCACAGTGACTCACCGAAGTCCTTCGGGGAAAAAAAAAAAAGGGAAAATTTGTCTGGCGCCCCTGTATTTTCCATTTTGGGCCTCACATGTTTTTGTAGTTCCCCTCCGGGTACCCACAGCAAATTTGTGTCATGCCCCTACCGGATAGCCATTGGGAAAATTTCCGACATGCCCGTACCGGTACTGTGGATCTTTTCACTGTGCCCCTGTCGCCGTTGGAGGCACTCGGGATCAACCTGACTGACAATAACCATGGACTGCTGCACTCCAGATCCGCCCTCGCATAGGCCGTCTGCCTGTCTGCTCTCTCTCTCTCTCTCTCTCTCTCTCTCTCTCTCTCGCACACACACACACACACACACACACAGCACACACAGCACACACAAACACACACCACACTCAACGCACAACACACACACACACA